TTGTTGTATGTGAAAGTAGACAAAACAAAAGAAAGAAAAATCAAAAAGAGATGAAAATATGATGTAAGCGCTTACATCGACATTCTTGTGATGTAAACGCTTACCTCAGCATTCTTATGATGTAAGCGCTTACATCGGCATTCTTATGATGTAAGCGCTTACCTCGGCAGGACATTCAAATGCTTATAAATAGGGGTCTACATTTTCATTTGTGGATCATCCCAAAACTTCTTCTTTCTCTCTTCAATTAATAAAGAACTATTCTTTGTGTGGCCGTGGAGTAGGCAAAAATTGCCGAACCACGTAAATCTTGTCTTGTCTTGTCTTGTGCAATTTATTGTTTCTCTCCTAAATATCTTTTTCCTTCTATTATCTTGACACGCTTACTCAACAATAACCACCCTTGCTCTAATTGATATTAGGTGGTGTGCAGAATCTGTTGGGAATTCCGCCAAACAAATTCTAGAGGATATTCTAAAGAACTATGCAAGTTTTGTTGAGGTCAATATCCATGAGCCTCAGTAAGACATCTTCTTCCTTGATTTACTTCTTATAATTGTTGCTTGTGTTTGTATTTTTGTGTCCAAATTATAAATGCTAAGGCTTGTTTGGTCAAGAGTATAGTAAACAGATAGTCTTACGTTAGATTCATAGGTTAATAATCCTCTTAAATGTCCATGATCTTAGTTTGCTGCTCTAGTAGCAATGCTTTCATTAGCGGGCATGTCCAGTAAGAATTTAGTTCTGCGCACTGTTGTATATTTTGTTATATCGTTGTGTAAAATTGATCTACAATAACATATAACTCTTCATAGTAAGCTCGATATAGTAACCTAGATAATAGAGTAATAACCTGCTTTAATAAGTTAAATTGCACTGATAGAGTGAAAATCGTCTTCTATAAGTTAAATCCATCGAATAATAACGCGTAACATGTTATACCTGCATGTTCATTCTTGCTATAATTTTCTCATGTTTCTTAATTTTGAGAAATCTAACATTTCATTTTTCATCCTTTGTGGAGGTTTCTTTTTTTTGCAGAAACATGCGACAAGGACCAAGCGGTTGAGCAGCAAGAACTTCAGCATATTCAACAGGACATTGAAGATAACTATGCAAGTTCTGTTGAGGCCCATATCACATAGGTTGGAATTGGATTTTTGTTCAGTCTTTCTGAATGTTGATAGGTCATAAGAGAAACTAGACCTGTATAAACAAGTAAGGAAAATGCCTCCATATGAAATTGTCCTGCCCCATTTCTTTTAAAAAAATGTTAAAAGAAATAGTTTAGAGAACTCAGCAAGTCTCATTTTCATCCAATATCAACTACGGTACATAAACCTTAAAATCAAAAGATAAAAGCCAAAACAAAACTGACAAGTTTGTTTCATTTTGCATGTTTTTTCCTTTCCTTTTCTAGTTATGCACACAACAAAGAATTGTTGGTGTTAGCACTATCAAGTAAGTGTTGAGAAAAAGTAAAAATCTCAATATTATGAGATACAAGGACCAGGTTCAATACTATATTCTTGGCCATATGCATTCCTACAATAAGCAGTGACTTCCCTTCCTTGTGTCGTTGTTCCTGGTGTCGCTGATGTTAGTTGTATTAGTTGCATTGTTATATCAGTACATGGCACTGACATACTGCAGTTCAAATTTATTGCGATATCTGTGCTCGATGTTCCAAATATATTCTGGTAAATAACATTGCTAATTTGCACTCCAGTTACCTATCATGAAAAGGGTAACAAATATTTATTTGTACTCGGTGTTATACACAAAATCAAGAAATTTAAACTTAACAGAAAAAAGTGTGTGAAAGGCATCTGTTGTGCATTCATAGGTTTGGTGTGAACATTTAGACAAGTTTTTATTAAGCTGAATATGCATTTAAATCAATGTTAACTTGTATTACCATTTCCTTACAAGCTCCTCGAACGTCGCAGTAATTCTGGTCAATTATAATGGGATTCTTGACTGAGTTAAATTCAAGATTCTCAAATATGACATCTCGTACATATCCTCTGCCAACCTATTCACAAGAAGTTAATAGTAAGCGGCGGGTGGATTTCATATACTATGGGATCAATTGAAACCATTATTTTCGAAATAGAGCATAGATATATACTGAAAAACTACTAAAAGTTCAACAAATACTAAATTATGAACCCGTAATCTCAAAAGTACATATGAGTTTGAAGCTAAGACCTTGAACATTGAGTCCATTGAGTTAAAATCTTTAATCTGCCTTTCGTTTTGACCAGCGTGTTTAGTAAGAGTAAATTCATGTTTGAAGTTTCAATAGTGTTGTGCCATTTTAAGTTAAGTTTTTTCAATGGCTAAGTCTGCTATGGATACCTGCCATGTCTTGATACGAGCTCCATTTGTAGTTCCATAGAAGAAAGCATTGCTCACATGAATGTTTTCAACTTGAGCAAAATTACCACCTTTCCCTAAGCTTCCAATACTGAATACAAGCAAAATATAAAGATTCATCATCAGTATTAGGAAGTTAAAATCGATTAACTTAGCAAATTATCCTTATCTGCTTAATCCAAACAAACATTACATGCTGAAACCCTCTTAGGAACTCTTAGTCTTTTGTCACTTTTTTGGCATCATAGAATAGTTCATTGTTTCATATTCTCTGTTGCTATTTTCGATTTAGTTTTTTAATTATTTGTCTTGTCATTACTTGCTATCAGGGTTTTTCTCACCTTCTTTAGCCGAGGGTCTATCAGAAACAATCTTTCTGTCCTCCTAGGGTAGGGGTAAGAATGCGTACATCCTACCCTTCCCAGATCTCACTTGTGGGATTATACTGGGTTGTTGTGGTTGTTATTTTTGAGTATAGTTCATTGTTATTAGAAGATAACCTCACCACCAAGGGATGTTGTGGGATGGTTGGGATCCCTCCGCTCTTAGCCAGGGGCTCGAACTCGAGCCCCAAGGATGGAGAACTTCTTTGTAGGGAGTACTTAGCTCCCTTAGTTGGCCTATCCTGCAGATATCTAGATTAGTTAGGCCAGTGGGTTGCAGAAACCGGATACAACAACAACCCAGTATAATCCCACTTAGTGGGGTCTGGGGAGGGTAGTGTGTACGCAGACCTTACCCCTACCCTGGGGGAGAGAGGCTGTTTCCAAATAGATCCCCGGTATCCTTCCCTCCGAGAACTTCCCACCTTGCTCTTTGGGAGACTCGAACTCACAACCTCTTAGTTGGAAGTGGAGGTTGCTTACCATCAGAGTTAAAACGAATAAAAAGAAAGATCCTAACATGGTTTTTGTGGCTGCAAGGGGATAAAAAATACTGTTGACTTTTATGCTACTGCAAAACACTGATGAGGAGACAACCTTATACCATGACCTGGTCCACATTGAATGTTGTATATTTGTACATTAGAAGAGTAATCTCCAATTGAAATACAATCATCCCCTGTTAATCACAAAGCTAAAACAAGTCAATACATGAGAAATAATTAAAGTATAACACACAACATTTGACAAAGTTAAGAATACCAGTGCTGATTTTAGAATTGGTAATGGCCACATATTGAGAAGACTGAATGTGAATTCCATCAGTATTTGGACTATTTCCTGGAGATTCAATCAATACACTATCCACTTTGAATCCATTGCATCTCTCTATAAGTATATGAGTTTGAGCACTGTTGCCAAAGTAAATGTTACTGATGGAACTCTGACTGCAAAAAATGAACTTCAAGGCCTGTGGAATTTTCACAAAATTAAGAAGTGAAAAACTGAAGTATGCATGCTATTTTTTAACAATTTTCTTTGCCTTCTATTTAAATCATGGCCTACTTGAACTTATTAACATACTTAACGCGTGTTTTGTATAACAGAAGTCATTTTCGAGGAAAATGTTTTTTCATGAGGAAGTACTTACAGTAGGAGCTAATCTTGTGCATCCTTCCTGAAAAGTAAAGAATAAATAAGAGTTAATCCATGTCGAAGATAAGGACCATTACTAACAGTAACAACAACAACAAACCCAGTGATATCCCATAGTAGGGTCTGGCGAGGGTGGTGTATACGCAGTGGCGAAGGTACATAGAGTTAAGGGTGATCAATTGACCACCCTTCGTCGAAAAATTACACTGTATATATAGGTAAAATATTAGATTTTAATGGTATATAACATATATTGAATACCCTTTATCTGAATTTTTTTTACTTATATCAAGTTTGAACACCCTAAATGAAATTTCTGGCTTCGCCACTGTGTATACGCAGTTCTTACTCCTACCTGGAGAAAGTAAGAGAGGTTGTTTTCGGCAGACCCTCGGACCATTACTAATAGTAACGGTGGAATTAGAACTAAAGATAGTTCAGAAACAACAAACATTAAGTGATTTCTTTCCATCCAGCGTTGGTGCAAAAAATGATTCGTGAAACACTGTTATCGATAAAAAGATGTTAGCTTATCTGGTATCTTGTGACATACCATGTCAGGGTGGTATCTACATGATTGATCCCACCATCCTTGTCCCTGCCCATCAATGGTTCCTGAGCCATCGACTATTAGACCGCTAACATTTCTGAAAGCCAGCCACTGACTCGCATCCTCCCCGGTCCATATAGCAGGTGAGCTTGGTGCAACGAGTCTACCTGATATCTACAGAAGAGTCATAAAAATTCACATATTTCACTGTAAGCTTGAGTTCTGCAAATAGCTACGATTTAACTTATATATACTGACAGTGTAAAGAATCACACAATCTTGTTACTTAAAAGATAACTACAGATAACCAAAATAAGTGGAACTAGTTACTAAAAACTAAGGCATACAACCTCCTACAACAAGCTAAATTATGCAGATAATGTTTATAAAAAATCGTCACTGTATATAAGTTAAGTTCTATTTGTAAATTTAAATAGCAGGCTGTAGCCTAATTTATTCAGGTAACTAGTCGATTATTATTTATGTGGAAGGGGAGCCTTGGAGCAACGTCACATAGTAGTGGATGTAGCACTAAGACACCGGGTTCATCTGAACCCAGTACTTTAATTTCGACGCAGGGCATAAATTTATGTATAAAAATCCAATAAAATTGGCTCTGAACCCATAATTTTAAGGTTGAACCCATATAACTTAAACCCTAAAGTCGCCTCTGATGGCGAAGTTGTCTCTGTGTGACCTACATAAGTCGCAAGTTCGAGTCGTGAAAGCAGTCACTAATGCTTACATTAGGTTACGCAGTTTACATCACACACCTAGGGATGCAGCCCTTCTCCGGACCCTTCATGCGGGATATTTTGTACACCAGACTGCACTTTTTAATCGATTATTATGTTGAGTTACATGTAGTTATCTTTCAAGTGAGCTGATAATATAAAAGAAATATTCTACATCATGTATACATTGTGTATGGAGAGAAGTTAAATTCTTCTGAATATTAAAGAGTAGTTATGTTTCCATACCACAAAATAGATGTTTTCAGAATTGCAGGGACCTCTGAATGTGAGAGGACTAAGTAAAAATATCATATTTGGAGGAATAATCACTTCAGGAGATCCACCAGCTGATGAACATGCATCATTCCAAGCATTAAGAAATGCCTGAAAAAGAAAACAATTCCTTAATTCTTGATTTCAAGAGCAACAAAAAACATACTCCTATTTGATAATAAATAATTAGTGGAAAATAAAGGAAGAACAAAAATATAATAATACTTACTTGAGAATCATCTGTAATACCATCAGCAGCAGCTCCATAATCCAAGACATTAAAACTTCCTGCATATCCAATTATACTTGCATAGGATATTCCTGAATTTCTCAAGCCAAGAATGAACAAGATAACCAAAGTTTTCTACAAAGAAAAAAAAAAGGAGATCAAGAAAGTTAAAAAAAAAAAATTAATTTGGCAATGTTTATATAACTAGTTAAACAGCTCAAGAAAAACCAATATATTAGAATTATTGTCATATTAATTAATCTAAATGGTTATGTAATAACAGAGAGATAAAATGAATATATATATATATATAGGAGGAATAATGAGCTTCAAGATTCAAGAATCCTTACCATGGTATATGAAGAGTTAGAGGAACACATTGAAAACTGATGATAATTATCTGTGCCATAACCAAACAATTAATATCATTACATGAGTTCTTGAAAATAGAAAAAGAAAAGTAATTGCATTTCTCAAAATTGTGCTAATGAAGACAATCTTGAAACATAAGCTTCTTAAGCCTATTTAGACTTCATTAAATACTTCAACAATGTAAAGTCATAGCAGGCCATCACCATTTTCAAAATTTCAAATAAAAAAGAAGAAAAGAATATTCAATATAATGAAGAATTAAATATGTAAAATGGAAAAAAAATGAGTGAAATATATATATATATATATATATATATATGAAACTTACAATGGCAAATGTGTTAAGAATGTATGATCTTGAATGAATATGTGATCAAAAAAAAATTGTGTGTAGAGTGTAGAAGTAGGAGAGTCTTATAAATGAGGAAATTTGCCATTGTGGGAAAAGATTGAAAAGAAAGCAACATAACATTTTACAAATTTGGAACAGTTTAAGATAAGAATGTATGTCAGAAATGGAGTGCAAATTAAGTTTGATTCATGAGGAGAACAGTTGTAGAATTTTGCCAATAAAAGCATGCAAAGCCAACACTTTATTTATTGTTTATGTTATCATAATAAAAGAAAGAATATTTATTAGTTGAAAGAATATGCATCCACCATTTTTTCTTGTTTTAGTTTTGACAATTCTGAGCATTATATACTCTCGCATTCCAATTTATACGAATCTGTTTGATTGGGCACGAAGTTTAAGAAAAAATAAAGACTTTGAATTTATGGTCCTAACCAAGTCAAAAAGGATTCCAGAGTATTTGTGTAGTTATAAAAGTTTCTCATTAAGGATAGAATTAGAAGTTTAAGCTAAATTATTTCCAAATTTAGAAATGAGTCATTCTTTTTGGAACAGACCAAAAAGGAAGTAGATTCACAGGGAGTATATGGCTTTTTATGGAAGTGAACTAACATGTCACTTAAACTAAAATAAATTGAGATTTATATTAACAATTATAAGTAAATGATGACCCAAATGATTTTTTTCTTAGAATAATATTAGTGATTTTGTAAAAAAATAACGAATGTATGATACAATAGAAAAAAGAGTTTTCCTATTAATAAAGTCAAAATTCCGGTGTTTCCTCTGTATATAGATAAATATATATTTCAGAAATCACTCTCTCAATTCAGACTTGTAACATTTAATTCTGAATCCGTCACACATTGAAATCATCTAAAGATATGTTAATGTTGACTAATTAATTAAGTTAACTAATTAAACAAAAATAAGCACGTAGTTACTAAAATAGACGAGAGATGCAAAAAGACCAAACTATGTATAATTTTTTCTTTGTTTTCCAAACTATGTGTAATTTTTTTTTCCTTTTTTTTGTATTATTTTCTGTACTTTATTGTTACTGCATTTTGTGATTGAGGTCTGATTGGACGTTCAGGAGGTAGTATTTTTTTATGGCTTGGACTTATATGCCAAGCAATTGTTGCTTCAAAGGTTTAAAAAGCTTTCCCACTACTATTATTATTATTATTATTATTATTGTTATTATTATTATTATTATTATTTTATTAAATTCCTCTTATCCACTTTCTAATTTCGTCAATTTTAAATAGTCACTTTCCCTTTTTGGTCTTGTCTCCACGTGACTGATCCATAACGAGTTTCAAAATTTCTTGATTATGGGCTAATACTACTGTGGGGTGAATTTCTGGAGTAATTGGGTAGAAATGACACAAGGTAGCTACTTTAAAGGATTGTTATTTAGAAATTAGTCAGTACGTCTCGAATTTTAATTTTTCGGGTTAAAAATGTCCTTAAGTTAAAAAATTTAGTTTAAAATTTTAGAACAAAATAAACACAGACTAATCTCTAAATAGCATCTTTAAAAGTAATTATTTGTACACTTGCCATAGTAATTGGACTACTGGCCCAAATAGCTTTGAGAGAGGTCAGTCTTGATGGTCCAGTGCGCTTTTTATCTTAGAAATGACACCAAGTAACCACTTTTAAATGCAAAAAATTGCTCGGGCACCCTATTTGGTCACTCCCATTTAACCTATACCTACTTTTTTTTTAAAATTTAACTTGTACCCATTGTTTAAACAACTTCAGACTTCTTTCTCCTCCTCCTTCGTTTTCTGAATGCCGAAGATTGAGATATTGTTATGTGTTCTAACCTAACTTATATTTGCTATTTTAGCTCTTTACAGGTAGGAATTAGCTTTTGGACCATCCAGTTCGGAAATTCTAATTTTAATTGCTACTAAAACATGAAAGCACGACTTGATTCCCTATGCATTAGGTGAAGATGTTACTTTTACTAATGGTCTTGTTTTATAGGAGTATTGCTTTTCAAATTTCCTGATAATTCCATTATAGCAACTGGATCTTAATGACAACTTGTCATTGTTGTTTTAGAACTTCGGCTCTAAAAATACTGAAGTACATCAAATAAAAATAAATATTTTAGCTCCTAGAATGCTGAAGTTCAGCAAATACAAAACAAACTTCAGCCCCGAAGTTCATCACAAACATAACAAAGCTTCAGCTAAAACATGCTGAAGTTCAGCAAATATAAAACAAAACTTCAGCTAAAACATGCTGAAGTTCAGCAAATAGAGAATAAAACTTCAGCTACTAGAATGCTTAAGTTCAGCAATTACAAACAAAAACTTCAGTCAACACTTGGTTCAGCAATTTTTGCTACTTCAGGCTCGTCTACTAGAATGCTGAAGTTTGCGTGATTGCATTTGCTACTTTAGGCACGTATGCTTGAAGTTACGCGAAAAGTGGGTACGCTTGCAATTTTATTTTTTTTGCAAAGAGGGTATAAGTTAAAACGTGACCCAAAAAGCGAGTAAGATGCAAATGCCCCTTTTAAAATGTTGTTATTTAGGTATTAATCAATGTGTCCTAAATTTTAATTTTTCAGTTTTATTTTTTCTTTAAATTGTCCAGAAATTAATTTTTTTATTTAAATTTTCAGGACAAAATAAGTACCGATTAAACTCTAAATGGTAGTCCTAAGAATGGCTATTTCTCCACTTCCCCCGCTTTTATTCAAGCTCTCGAAATTCGTGCAAAGTGCAACAATAGTCATTTTATGCCTGCTATTTAAAATATATCTACAATTTATAATGTATTTAAATAGTAGCCTATTCACCCAAACTTCAAGACTAAGTATCCTGAAATTCAGGCCATAGTGTCTTGAATTTTTGAGTTGCTAATTCGAAATTCAGGACTAAGTGTCCTAAATTTCTAAATTACTAATTTAAAATTCAGGGCATAAGATTCGAATTTCTGGACACAATTTTCGAACTTTAGGACACGATGTCCTGAATTTTGAACCCTGAGGGTTAAACTCTAGGACGTCGTGTCCTGAAGTTTAAGCGAAATTGACTAATCTTTAAAAATATTTTGTAAACTATGAATATATTTTAAACATTATGCTTAAAAGGGACAATTTGGTGTCATTTCCAGTCGAAATTATAGTCCAAAGTCCAAAACATGCCATTAACAATATAGCAACAATAATAACATAAATTTTTGAAAAATTAGCAACATAACCTAATCACAAGAGAGATAAGAAGTATATTATAGTAGTAGCTCTTTTTTTAAATATAAAAGTTGTTAACCATGTAGTTACTTTAAATTTCTAAAATTTACATTTAACTAAATATTTAACATTTTTCAATTATTAAAAAAGTAGTCGCGTTAAATCTATACCTCACACCAAAAAAAAAAAAAAAAAAAAAAATACACTTCACATCAAGATCCAATCTTTACACTTCAAAACTTGTTTTGAATTTTTTTTCTCCATTTCTTCAATGGCAAATTCTTGGAGAAGAAACCAACAAATCAAGATTTTCACACCCAAAAATCTCCTTCTCTTCATCTCTACTTCACTTCTCCTTCTCATTTTCCTTTACCTCACATCACAAACTCAACAATCCCAAAATCCAAAAAAACCCTTAAAATCCCTTAAAAATCCAATCTTTAATAACCCTTTAATAAAACCTTTTGATTGTTACAATTCACCTCAAGCTTACCCTGTAATAGCTAGTATAGTTGAAGGTATTAAATACCCATTTCTTTTTTCACTTTCAGATTTTGGGAATTTACCAGAAAAACCCCATAAGAATATTCAAAGGGTACTTAAAGGGAAGCCATTTAGGAAGCCTGATATATCTGGGACTGTACAGGAATTATTGGAAAAGATGAAGGGTAAAAAGGGTATTTTTGTTGATGTTGGAGCTAATGTAGGAATGGCTAGTTTTGCTGCTGCTGTTATGGGGTTTAAAGTTTTGGCATTTGAACCTGTTTTTGAGAATTTGCAAAGGATTTGTGAAGGTGTTTATTTTAATAGAGTCGGTGAGTTAGTTGAAGTTTATGAAGCTGCTGCCTCAGATCATATTGGAAATATTACCTTTCATAAGGTATTTTTATAATTTAATTTGGTTTTTATGAGTATTTAGGATTTTGTTAATTGTATTGTTTTATATAATATTGGTCTGAGATGAGTTTAAGTGGAGAACGTGGTAAGTGAGGATTCATATAGACGATCAACTTGTTTGGGACTGAGGCATAGTTATTCTTATGTAGTTTCCTTAATTATTAGCTAAGTCATGTACTTTTGATTAATTGTATATCACTTGTTTTTGGTTTTTTATTTTGGTAATGATGATGATATGGGTTGAGCTTAAAAAAAAGAAATGAGGATCAATGTCGTCGACCCCAACTTGTTTGGAACTAAGGTGTGGTTGTCGATGTTGTTCTTTTACTGGTTTCTGGTTTTGTTTAGCAGTTATTGTGTCTAGCTTGATTATTGCTGTGAAATTTGGTAGTGTAACTAATTTTGCTAAATACCATTCCTGTTCCTCGGACATAATGTAGTTAAAGAACTGGGCTTTACCATTAACATTGACCAATTGACTGATCTGAATTGATTCGATTATGAAATCATGAATAGTCATCCTTTGATTGTATTTCTTTTATCATGTGGAGCTATGTGAGGTAAAAATCTGAATGCACAATTTTGAATGAGAGAATTAAATGATATTTGATCTTAGCCAAATGGCCGAGAAAGATATGAGAGAACTAAATGACAATCTCATTAGGTTTTTATTTTGGGAGCTGGTTCATGGTCCTCGACGATTGCCTTTAGGGATTACATTGATTTGAAGATGTACTATTGAAAAGTGAAACCTAGAGCTCTCGAGCACTGCCACTCTTTTATAGGAGTATGATGTTTAACCTTGTATTTCCTCTTCTTGAGAAATTCACTCTACTTCAATTATATCCGTGGTACCAGAGCTGTGCATCAGATTTTTTATTGACTGTAGCCAACTTATATAGACCACGATATATGTTTCTCTGTATGTTTATCCAAATCTGATGTTATAAGACCTCTCTTAGTTATATTAGCATGCAACTTCTCCTTTGTCGTCATTATATGGAATTGCACCTTCAAAACTTGGGCTAGATCGTAACCCAGTCTACATTGCTATATTGCTGGTGGCACATGCTCTCTTAATGACACGGTGCTTTGGGTTTAAACTTCTATAGTTTCTATCCAAACAATAAAAACAATGGTACTATTAGCTTTTGTAGTTGTTATTGACCTTTTAACATCTAAAAGGGAAAAAGAAAAAGAAACAAGAGGGGGGGACTGCCTATTGTTCAGCATTAATTATTATGCTATTTGTTGTTTTGTTAGCTACCCTACTGAAAGTTCTGCTTTTCATATATTTGTAATTTAGTTGGTTGGTAGGCTCGACAATAGTGCAGTCTCAGCTATTGGTGCCAAGTTGGCTTTTAAGTCAAATGAAGAGATTGAAGTTCAAGTAAAAACTATTCCTCTTGACGAAATTATCCAAGAAGAGCCTGTTCTACTGCTAAAGATAGATGTTCAAGGCTGGGAATATCATGTACTTAAGGGAGCGTCAAAATTATTATCGAGGAAGAAAGGCGAAGCACCTTACCTAATCTATGAGGAAGATGAGCGTTTGTTACAAGCCAGCAATAGCAGTGCCAAAGAGATCCGAGAGTTTCTCCACAGTGTGGGCTACAACCATTGCACTCAACACGGTACAGATGCGCACTGCACAAAAACAAATTGACAAGGTTACTCATTTTACAAACACTCTTCCGCTACAACTCTTGAAAAGTTCTGATACATCAATTTTAACGATCAACTATCATATTTTTTGGTGCGATAAGCTTAGAATGGTTGGAGGACTGAGGACCTGACGCGCCATTTGTTCAAAGTTGAGCTCTACTTTTTTCAGGTTTTGTGAAATGGCAACCTGATTTAGACCATGTTGAGAGGATTGTGACAAAACCAACTTTTGCCGGTAGGTTTGTGGTTGGATAAACAGATAGGAGAAGAGAAGGTAGGAATACAGTGGCAGGATGTTTTCTCACACTTTTTTGCTTGGTTACCCAATATGTAATGTGTGCACAGGCTCTTTATAGTAATACTTCTCTTGTAGAGGTTGTTGCTTTGATCTGTGTCTTTTGCTCCTTTTTTCTCTCTGTTTCCATTGGTGAACATGTTGATCATTAAGTACATCTAACTACAATTCTTTTTAATGACTTCAATTTAGTGTACGGATGATGTCATGCTTTGATATAACCCTTCCTTTTCTGATTATACTGAAGGGGAACTTGGCTTAACCGGTAAAGTTACTGCCATGTGACCAGGAAGTCACGGGTTCGAGTCGTGGAAACAGCCTCTTGCAAAAATTCTGGGTAAGGCTGCGTACAATAGACCCTTGTGGTCCGGCCCTTCCCCGGACCCCGCGCATAGCGGGAGCTTAGTGCACCGAGTTGCCCTTTCTGCTCATACTGTCTTCTTTGAAACTGTGTGAGTGATGCAAGTGTGTTGGTCAACACATTAATGGCCCTGAAAAAGGGTTGATTAGTGGTGTTTAATGATAAACCATCATTAATAGCATCTTTTCCAGGTTAGTACTTCTGTGTTTAATGAGGTCAAATTAGTTGTTAGGTGGAGTTCTCTTAAACACTTACTCCTTTTTTCCATCTGTTTTATGGCATTAAAGATAGCTTTACTTCTCTATTGTGAGTGGCTGTTTTCACATTGAGCTACATTCAGTCTGTAAAAGAGGAGGAAAGAGAAGTGTGGTTGAGGCTCTAATTGCTGAACTCCACTGCTCCGTAAAGCCTTAATTATTTTTTAATTTAGCAGCTCATTGGCTTATGGCAGCAAACTATGACACATTTTCTATCTCATTGTAAAGCACAGAGAAAATTACAGCGTCTGGGAAATCAGGGTGGTTCTGTTAGAAGGTAAGAACATGCATCCTCTCCTCATTATTAAGAACACACATACTTAGCCAAGGAATAGATTTATAGTAGCAATATATTCATTTGGTAGTGTAAAGCCAGGAATGGATTTTACAAGTTTCAAGGTAAAACTTCCATTGAAACAACTTGAGCTAGCTATGACACTCAATACTACCCCAGGTAACCATTTCCCAGAAACTTTTTTTTTT